ACCGGGGGTGCCAGCAAGACCCCCTTCCTCCCGAGCTGCATGTTTTTTGGGGAAAGTCCTGTTTTATAAATTGAAAAAGATGTCCTTTTCACTCCCAGCAAACATCTCAGGAAGCTGGAGAACACTCTGTTCTGCTTGTCAACAAGGAAGAGGGCTGATGTTCTCCAGCCGCTAAGATGGAACATCAATTATTTACCGAAGAAAGGCAGCTAAATCTTAAATATTCCAGCCTGAGAATCGTGCCGGAAGAGAAACAGCAGAACTCATGGTCTCTGTTGTTTGCTTGATCTGCTCCGCCAGATCTTGGTGGATCATGTTGAGATATGATCTTCTCCACGGTCTACTTTGCCTACATATTCATGAGGATGGGATGCAGGAATGAACAAGTGAGGGAACTGGGTATGAAGAGAAGGACTGGGGGGGGGGACATGATAACAGTCTTCCAGTATTTGAGGGGCTGCCCCAAAGAGGGCGAAGGGGTCAACCAATCCTCCAAGGCATCTGAAGGCAGGAGACGAAGCAACAGATGGAAACTAATCAAAATCCAAAGTCCCTTCCAGCCCTATTAAGGTTCTCAGATGAAGAAGACAAATATGGATGGAGAGAAAGAGAGGGAGAGAAAGAACAGGAAGGAAAGAGAAAGAAGGGAGGAAAAGGGGAGGGAAGAAAGGAAGGAAGGAGAAAGGGATGGAAGGAGAAAGTGGGATGGATGGAAGGAAGGAGAAAGTGGGATGGAAGGAAGGAACTCTACTGCGGCAAACAACCATCAGAAAGTGCCAAGGCCTTGAATCTCAGCTTTCTGACTCTGTTTTCGTGTCTGAATGCTCTCAGCGTTTCCTGGAGACCATCCTTTTGTGCTAGCCTGGCAACCGTGTAGGGAGCATCTTCAAGTGACGGATTGATGCCCCCTTTTTTTCTGTAGCTGAGAAGATTTCTCAGGCCAAAAGAGAAAAAAAAAGGACCCCAGCCCTTTCCACAATCACATTGGCGGTGAGAAGGGGCAGATTCGGGGGGGGGGGCAAAATGCCCCCAGAATAGAATGAAAGATATCAGAGGAACCTTTTGGAATGATAAGCTCCCTTGTTGATAATCCCTTTGGGGAACTAATTAAACCTTTCTCCAAGAGCCGCCAAGGAATATTCACATTTTCTTTCCAAAATCCTATTTGGGCAACGTCTCACGCCCTTCCTTGAACCGATGACTCTTCTTCTCCTCCTCTTCCTTCTCCCCTCTCTTTCTCTCTTCCCTTCTGCAACTAATGAAGGAAAAATTTCCTGGCTGTGAGGAACTTAATTCTTTTCTATTTGGCTATGATGGAGACGCGACCGTCCAAAGTCCCGTCTCTCTGTCTGTCTCCACGCTCAAAAATCCTATTTGTTTCCCACCCATCAATATTTGATCGGGACACATTTCTTCCTAAATTGGAATTCGGGACTATAAAAGGAGACTCCTTTAATGGGAAAAAAACCCCTCTTCCTGCTGGGGATAAAACGGGGGGTGCATCTAGCCAGCCACCTCCACCCCACCCCGAAAGACGAGTTTAAAAATGTCAGCCATCCCTCCAGGCTGTGGAAAGGGAAGACAGATGTAGGAGTAAAGGTAACCGACTTCCAATTTCCCACAGAAATTAATCCGAGGCGGCAAACAGCTCCTGCAGTCCCCAGAAGTCTGATTTAATGCTTCTACGGCCCTCGGTTTTTTTTTTTTTTTGGTTTTTGGTTGTTTTTTTTTTTTTGGTTTTAACTGCGCTCAACTCCCACAAGCTCTTCGGCTGTGCGAAGAATTAATTTTCTTCTTCTGTTTCTTGTCTCGAAATTGGATTCCCAGAAAACGGGCAAGGGTCTCCGGGAGGTTGCAAGCAGGAGGTGGGCCTTCAAGGTGGGAGGGATAGGGGTCCCTGTAGGAGGGTCCGTGTGGGGCGCAGCCCCCTCTGCTCTTCTGCAATTGCTCCAGGGGCATCTCTGGTTGGGTTCCAGAGGGAGACCCTCTTCTCTCTCTCTCTCTCTCTCTCTCTCTCCCTCTCTCCTTCCTTCCTTCCTTCCTTCCTTCCTTCCTTCCTTCCTTCCTTCCTTCCTTCCATCTTTTCCATGCTGGAAAACAAGATCACTCTGTTGACTTCCAAGTGCCCAAAATAGCTCCTCCTCCTCTTTTCCTTCTTCTTCTCCTCCTCCTCCTCGTTCTCCTCCTCTTCCTCTTCCTCCTCCTCTCCACAAATCCCACTCCCTTCCAGCAGTGAAGATGTTACCTACTTGGGTCTTGAAAAGGCTGCAAGAAAACAAGCTCAGAGAGCATCAAGGATCCCTTAGTTCTTTCTCTTCTTCCTCCTCCTCCTCCTCCTCCTCCTCCTTCAAGGGAGATTTTAGCAGGCTTGCATTTCTCCCCAGACAGCTTTCTCCCCCCCCCCCATCTCCTAGCTCAGCCTCACCTGAGCCTCTCTGACAGCAGCATCTGGAGCAGAAGCCGCACGCAACATTAAACATCATGTTCCTTCGAGGGTGGGCAGGATCCTTTCCCCTCCAAGCAGTGCCGATAATAGACTTGACTTTTTCGGGCCCTACACCTCCTAAAAGGCATAAAAGAAAGGTTAGCCAGGCAAAGTGGAAAGCAGAGAGTTTAATTAATCCCTGACTGCACTCTTGGGTGGGGAAGCCAGAAGCTGCGTAAAGACTGTGTTGACTGAACTGGGTTCAGAAGAATCTTATGACAATAAAGGTCTATCTATCTATCTATCTATCTATCTATCTATCTATCTATCTATCTATCTCCATCCATCCATCCATCCACCATCTATCGATCGATCTATCTATCTCTATCTATCTATCTATCTATCTATCTATCTATCTATCTATCTATCTCCATCCATCTATCTATCTATCTATCTATCTTAGATTCTTCCAAACAGTTTTTTAAATTTTTATTTTTTTTCTCTTTCCTCCTTGGAGACGGGTCTGTCCCAACGTTCATTCAGGCTGGTGCTTCCATTAAAAGTCAAATCCATGCAGAGAACCAGGATTAACGGAGAACGGGCAAGGCTGCCCATCTCCTGGTGGAGATCACAGGAAATCCTTGGTTTACAGCAGTTCATTTAGTGACCGTTCAGAGTTAATACAACGGCTCTGGAAAAAAGGCTTGGCAACTGGTATTATGCCGGTTTCAGCGTCCCGGGATCGTGTGATCCCCTTTTGTGATCGTCTCAGGTTCAAGAGAAAGAGAATGACCTTGTGGGAGAAGAGCAGGAGAGGAAGAGGTGAACGAGATCCTGGAGAAGGACCTTCTTCAGATCTTGGAGAATCTTGAGGTCTTGGAGAAGGAGAAGGACATTTTTGAGATCTTGCAGAAGGAGGTCTCTCCTTGAGGTCTTGGAGAGAAGGAGAAAGACATCCTTGGGACCTTGGATAGGATCCCTAGCTCTGAGGTGGCAAATGGATCTTGAAGAAGAGACAAAACAGGGATGCCATAAATAAGCTGCACAAAACAGCTCCTGAAATGTTTGTCAGGGGAGCTTCCCTCCCCCTCCATCTCCTTCACTGTGGAGGTAATGCAATTAAGCTCCTCATTTTCATAAGAATTGGAACTTGCATTATTCATGCTCTGCCCATTTGCATGTAGAACATGAGCCTTCACACCTTCCAATCCTCTCCTCTTGGTTCCAGCCCAGGTAAGAGCATCGGGCATCATCCAGAAGTGACCTAAGGCTGCCAGTTTAAAGAAGAAAGCAGCACTCTAGTCCCTTTGAAGGAGAAACTTGTGGTCTCCTGGTTGTAAGAGGTTAGAGGAGGATGCATTTGTTTTGGGGACAAGGTCTGGGCATTTCTTTCTCTCTCATCTCTGTTTTTCTGTTTCTGTTTTACTCTTTCTCAGTGTGTTTCTCTGTTTCCGTTTCTCTCTGTGTGTGTGTGTGGGGGGGGTGTTTTTCTCTCTCACTCTGTACGTTTCTTATTTTTCTCTTTGTTTTTTTCTGTTTCCTTTTCTGTGTGTGTTTCTCTCCCTTTCCCCCTCTCTCTATTTCTCTCTCTCTTTCGTACTTATGTGACCGTTGCAGGATCCCTTGTAGCAGAGATGGGCAGCCTAAAAATTTAATAAAATAAATACATGCTGTATGTAAATTCATAAATGCAGTATGCATAAATTCAAAATTAATGAAATTGGATTAATTACATCCTACAATTGCACATCAATAATTAACCATTAGCATTTTACATGTGTATTTATATATTTAGGGTATGGCCTATCATGCAGGGACTAGCAATATATCTTCTTGTGCCATATCCGTTATCGGACGTTGGCGATCCTGTTTTTATCAGCAGCCACACGCAAAAGTGCTGCTGAGTTTTGCCCAAACCAGTCCCTTAGATTTTGAAGCCACAATGTTCTTCTTCTGCCTGGACCTCTTTTACCTTCAATCTTTCCCTGGAGGATTAAATGGAGTATGCCGTATTTTTCTGGGCGTTGCATCACATGTCCAAAATAGTCTAATTTTCGTTTTTTTAATTGTTTTGATGATTTCCCTTGGCTTTCCCAGGTGGCTTATCACCTCCTCATTTCTGATCTTGTCCACCCAGTTTATACATAACAGCTGCCTGTAAATCCATATTTCAAAAGCTTAATATATATTAACATTTAATCTAGATTTTGCACGTGGTTCACACGTTACTGGCAACGGCAGCTTCGCCATCTCCAAGACAAGCAGCGAGTAGCCCCGCCCACAGATGGGCGCAGTTTTCTCCCCTTCTGCCCGTCTAGCAGTTAGGGCGCATGCGCCGCAAAGAAACACACGGCGCCTCCTTCAAAACCTCGCCGGCGTCCTTTCCCCGCAGTCCTTCCTTCGTCTGCTTCTGCGCATGTCCCGCTTTCTGCCGGCGGCTTTTTTTTTTTCCCCCCCTTTCTGCGCAGGCGGGGCTACTCTAGTCTCGCGCGCTCTCCACTGTTCCTCAGCGGCTCGCTGGCCTTGTAATCTCGCCTGTAGATGGCGTACTTTGAAGGCGGCCCCTTGATTTCTTGTTCTTTTCCTAGAGTGGCCGTGAAGGCGGGAGGGCGCCTTCTGCCCGGCGCATGCGCTTTGAAGGTGAAAGGTCGGCAACATGGCGGCGGCCTCTTCAGGCGATGAAGCGCCGGACAATGAGGACTATTATTCGTTGCTCAACGTGCGGCGGGAGGTGAGGCGCTGAGGGGCGCCGGTCTTCTCTGAGGAGCCGCTCCCGGGCGAGTCGAGGCCGGGAGGCGGGAGGGAGAGCGGCCGGCGTTGGCGAGGGAGGCTCAACCAGTCATTGACAGGACAGAAGCGGGCGGGGATTCCGGTCAAATATATCCACAATGTGGTATACAAAGTAGGAGCCGCTCCAGAGCTGAGGAGATCTCGATTTTGGAGTTTTTGCCGCCGAGGAGGTCTCCAAAATTCCCCCTTTTATTATTTGGAAGGGGATTCCTCAGAGGTCATCTAGTCCACCCCTTTGCCCACAGATATAAGCTAAGACAACCTTTATCGTTCCTTTTCCTTTGCACACATTATCCATGAAATTCTGAGGCCCAGTCTCAAAATAATATATATGGATGTGCATAAATACATACTGTACCTATATTAACAGCAGTCTATTTTGAATACATGGGGGGGGGGAAGAACCAGTCTTGAGAGTTAATAAGATGGATACTGTATTTTACAAAGCTGATTGCCTCATCTATTATTGTTGATATTTCCAAGGTTAGGCTTGGAAAGGGGGCCTGAAGGCAACCAGGGCAGCCGAAGAAGGTCGAAGAGGCTCTTGGGGAAGAAGAGCAGCCATTCCTCAGAGCCCAAGGCCAGGGAGGCCTTGGAAGGAAGGAGACCGCGAGGGGGTCCCAACTAAATCACAGAAGGGAATCAAAGTTCAGATTATGGAACCCTGTACAGGTGGTCCTCGGCTTACGGCCACAATCGAGCCCAGAATTTCTGTGGTTAAATGAGACGGTTGCTAAGTGACTTTTGCCACTGTTGTTAAATGAATCACTGCTGTTAACTTAGTAACACAGTCGTTAAGTGAATCTTGCTTCCCCATTGACTTTGCTGGATGGAAGGTGGAAAAAGGGGATCATGTGACCCCGGGGATACTGCGACCGTCATAAGTATGAGCCAGTTGCCAAGCATCTGAACTTTGATCTTGTGATGCTGCCGTAGTCGTAAGTGTGAAAAATGGTCCTAGGTCACCATTGTAACTTTGAACGGTCACTAAATGAACTGTTGTAAATGGAGAACTATCTCTGTATGCATATCTTGTCTCTAAGGTGGCAGACCTGATGTTCCTGTCCTCCCCACCATTTCCCCCCCAGCTACACCCCTGCAAGGTGGGATGGGCTGAGAGAGGGTGACTCTCCCAACGTCACCCAACCGGCTTTCCTGCCTAAGGCAGGCCCAGAATTTGCAGTCTTCCATTTTGGGCACTCCAGCCAACTGGTTTGTCTTCCTGTTTTCAGGTTTTGCTTTTCCTGTCATCTCCGAGGGCCAACAAATGTCTAAGGCAGTGCTTTTCAACTTTGGCATCAACACTTGAAGATGTGTGGACTTCAACTCCCAGAATTCCCCCGCCAACCATGCTCAGTTTTTTTTCTCTCCTACCCCCCCTCCCCAGAGTGGAGAGATTGCAGAGAAAGGGATTTTAAGAGATTAAGTGGGCCACATTTGGGATACACATAAAAAGGATTAAAGTCCACGCATCCTCAGTTGCCAAGCTTGAAAAACATTGGTCTTGAGCAGGGGGCTGGACTAGAAGACCTCCAAGGTCCCTTCCAGCTTTATCCTATCCTATCCTATCCTATGGGGCATACAACCTTAATAAATTACGATTTCCAAAGGCTGACTTGTAGGGCTTTTTTTTTTTTTTTTTACAAAATGGGGAAACTAAAGTAATGAAACGAATAGGTGAACCCACAAGCCTTCTGCCACCCTTTCCATCTCATGCCCTCCAAATGTTCAAAGGCTTTGCTTATTATTTTAGGAAACTACAATAGGAGAAAGCTTTCCTGCTTATAATTTTCCTCGAAAGCTAGTCCTCAGATTTTCACCCCGACATTTGTGTTGCTAAGCAAGACAGTTGTTACACGAGTTTGCCCCCATTTTACGACCTTTCTTCCCACGGTTTTTAAATGAATCCCTGAAGTTGTTAAGAGAGTCACACGGTTGTTGTTAAGCGAATCCGGCTTCCCCGTTGATTTTACTGATGGGAAGGTCGCGAAAGGGAATCACGTGATGCTGTGACCGTCATAAATAAGAACTGGGACACTGCAGCTGTCGTCAGTGCAGTTGCCAAGCATCTGAATTTTGATCACGAGACCGTGGAGATGCTGAAACGGTCGTAAGTTTGAAAAACGGACATAAGTCACTTTCCTCAGTCTTTTTTGAACGGTCACTAAATGAATGGACTTAAGTCAAGGACTGCTTCTGTTGACTGAGCAATAGTGAGCTGTCTAGATTTTATAAGTTACGCCACTTTACTTTTTACTCACAACCTGCATATATCTCTCTCTTCCGTCTATTTTCAGATGGAAGCATCTTATTATATCCAAAACTGACTGCCTCGTCAGAGGTAGAGAAAACGGTGCTTGTTAATGTATTATGCATTAAATTTTTGGATTAATTAGTTCGGGAGAGCTTCGTCTGAGCAAATCTACAGCTTGGCTCTTCGGCACTTTAAACTGCCTCAGGGAAAAATAAAATTAGAATGACACTAAACTCCGTTTTTCCTACAATCCGTTCTGCCAAAAATGCAGAATAGCTTCTTTTGCAGAGTCAATGACTAATTGAAAGACACGTGGGCCCTTTATTCAGCGTGATATATTTTTTTAAAAAAAAAACCTGTATTGATTTTCTCGTTCTCCTAGCCGCCTTTCGACCTGATCTCTTTTGCTTGAAAGTGATTTCCACACTTGTGCAGGCAAACAGATAGTCCTTGATTTACGACTGTTCATTTAGGGACCAGTCAAAGTGACAGGGGCACTGAAAAAAGTGACCCGTGTGTTTTTCACGCTTAACGACCGTTGCAGCATCCCTGTGGCCATGTGATCAAAATTCAGGCACTCGGCAACCGACTCATATTTATGACGGCCGCGGTGTCCTGGAGAGGGTGTCACCTGACCCCCTTTTGCAACCTTTTCAGAAGGGTTGAGTTCAATTTTGGTCGTAAGCCGAGGACTACCTACAAATACTTAAGGATTCATAGATAAGATGGTTTTCCAAGTAAGAGCCAACTTAATCAATTCTGTGCTAAAGGTGGATCCGTAATTTCTCTTTAAAAAATTCAGTCATGGTTCCTTCTAATCCTGATCTCATATTTTAACGCTCTGGATAGGTTGATAATTTTGGGTGCCAGTAACATAACCGTCCAATTTCTGGCGATCGATCTCCAATCCTCGTTTGCGTTGATATTAAAACGAAGCGCGTCAAAACTTCTTGACAGGTGGCCTTTTTTTTTAAAAAAAAAAATCTCTTGTGCACTTAAAATGCTCAGCCATTTCCTCCTCTGCTTTCCAGCAGCTTGGTGAATAAAAAAAAAGACCAGGCAGTTGCACAGGATGGAAAGCTACAATTTTTGGAGTCAATTCAAAATTTACTATACTTTGCAGCCTGCAAGCGTATCCCTGAAAATTAGTTTTGAGGGATAGGCTTGCAGGTTACAATACGGTTCATGTAAGAAAATACAGTTGCATCTTTGTAAAGAAATGAACGGACTTTTCAGATGGAGATTGAGTGATCTTTTGCTTCTAAGTCCTTGTATAAAACATATTTTTTTTAAAAAAAATCCATGCAAATATGCAGGTAGTCCTTTACTTATGACGACGATTAAGACCAGAATTTTCATTGCTAAGTAAAGTAATCCTCCTCCTCCTCCTCCTCCTCTCCACTCCCTGAACCCAGCTGCCTTCTGACACTGATGATATTTCCTAGTTGGGTTGTGGAACATCTGCAAGGAAAGAACCAAGCTCAGAGAGCACCAGGGGCTCCATAAGTTAAATTCTGAGTGGCTTCACAGTTTTGGAATTTCCCCAGGAACCATGCACGATTTCGTCTATAATATTTGTTTAAAAAAAGAACCAACCCAGTAGATTTTAAAAAATAGTGGAGGCTGTGCTTCATGTCCTTTGTTAAGTACTGCTTAATAAGTATCCCGGTTGTAATATTTGTGGTTTTATAACTTTCATAAAATGACATTTTTCCTAGGCTATGTTTGAAAAGTAGGTGAGAAAACCCTTTAATTAAACCAAAGCTAAACAAATAAATAGGAGGTAAAAAAAGCCATTTATTTCCCAAAGGATCAAATCTGTCCAGGACCGTTTTATCAAGATGACAGTTCTTTAGAGTTATTAATTTGGGGCTGCATTTGGAAGAGGAGAACCCCAGAACTATGTTTATTAAATAAAAAAGATGGCAGGGCTGATTTCCATGATCCGATGACTTGCCAGGAGGGATAAAAATGCGAACGGAGCAATGGAACTTGTCGGGGTCTTTTCAAAATATAAGGGTGTTATGACAGACCATTTAATTGAGGAGCTTATAAATCAAGATTGAACCAAGGTAGAGCTTCCAGGCACGTTCAAGCTTTGAATGCTGGCTTCGGGGCAGGAGTCTGGAGTAATTGCTTCTCAACTCCCCAACCTATTTTAAAAAACAAATCCTGTCGTGATGATTTTATTAAAATCTGCAGCAACTGGGCAGCTCGGTCTTCCCGGTGCTGTGTCCTTCCCTCCCACTTCTCTTTTCCAGGTTAATCTGACCAGGGAGGATGGAAGGGAGCAGAGTTTAAACAGATCAGGATGAGATGAGATGGATATAAAAAAATCTGGCTCTTGCCAATAGCTCGGGCAATGACAGGAAAATGCAGGTCGTCCTTGACTTAGAGAGAGCCCTAAATTAGTGAGAGCGTTGTTAAGTGAATTTTGTTCCATTTTATGACCTGTAAATTTCGGCTCAGTTGTCGTAATTCGAGGAATAACCGTATTAGCGTTAATCTCTCCTTCCACTTTGAAATGTTGTTCAGGATTTCAGAGAGACCTTCTCACTCCTGCGACATATTGAGTCGGTGACCTCTTAGCGATTCCCCCAGTGATGAAAAGCCCAATTTTATATTTTATTCAACATGATTTTTTTTTTGGTGGGGGACAAAAAAATTGAATGGCTCATCTCTATTACTTAATCAATAGCGCATTAAGCCATTTATCACTGGTTTGATTAAAACAGGTCCTGGCTGGGCCAGAATTTCTACTCCTTCCTCGTCTGCGTTAATTCTTCTAACTAAAAGAGAGGCATGTGGGGTTTTTTTGCAGTGACATTCTGGCAGGTTTCGTCCAATTTGCATGTAGATGAACTAAGAATTAAAAAAAAAACAGCAGGAAAAAAACAAACTCAATTCCAGAAATGGCTTCAGTACCACTATGTAGATTAAAACTACGTAGTTTTCTGCTGAATTTAAGTTCCTATCTTCCAAGTTAAAAGCTCGGGAAATTTTTCCACTGGTCAAATAAGGTCTTCAGATGCAAAACCTTAGGGATAATTCTGCATTTGCACCGTGGTTTCATGATAGCTTCCTGATACAGATAGTCCTCGACTTAACGACCGTTAGTTTTTAGCAACTGTTTGAATTTTGAAAAGCGACTCCTGAACATTTTTCACAACGACCGTTTGCAGCATCCCCACGATCCAAATTCGGGTGCTTGGCAACTGACTCATATTTATGACGGTCGCTATTTCCCAGGGTCACATCACCACCCCCCTTTTGCGACTGTCTGACCAGCAACCTCAACAGGGAAGTCGTGTTCACTTAACAACCATGTTACTCACTGTAGTGTCCTGCCTGAGCAGGGGGTCGGACTAGATGATCTCCAAGGTCCCTTCCAACATTATTATTATTATTATTATTATTATTATTATTATTATTATTATTATTATTATTATTATTATTACTTTACAACTCTTGTGAGTTGTGAGTCCACCATCACAGCTTTACAGTGCAAAGTGTAAGCAGCCTCGGAACGCTCGGCTTCCCTGACCCAGCAGATTCGGGATCTCATTAGCCGCCTCGCTGCCTCGATCGACGCTCAATTGGATTTCTGCTCTTTCTTCCCCAGGCCACTCAAGAGGAGCTGAAAGCCGCCTACCGCCGGCTGTGCATGCTGTATCATCCCGACAAGCACAGAGACCCCGAACTCAAGAGGCAGGCCGAGCAGCTCTTCAACCTCCTTCACCAGGCTTATGAAGGTCAGAGGCGGGAGGCGGGATGGCGTTCTGAGCTGGGCGGTTTCCTGGCAGAGGTCTCAGGACCCAACGAGGGAACGTCATCAGTGCCAGAAGGGAGGGGGGCTTGCAGAGGGGGAGGAGGAGGAAAAGGATTGTAAGGTCCTTAGTGCTCTCTAAGCTTGGTTGTTTTCTTGCAGATGTTTCCTGACCCAAACTAAGCAACATCATCAGTGCCGCCTATGGCCGACGGTCTGTTGTATATAGAGCATTGATGATGTTCCCTGGTTTGGGCCATGAAACGTCTGCAAGAAAACAGCCAAGCTCAGAGTGCATTAAGGACCCCACAATCCTCCTCTAACACTGATGATGTTCCCTAGTAGGGTCATGAAATGTCTGCAAGGAAACCACCAAGCTCAGAGTGCACCAAGGACCCCACAATAATCCTCCTCCTCCTCCTCCTCCTCCTCGGCAAACTCCACTCCCTTCTGGCACTTGATGATGTCACCTAGTTGGGTCATGAAACGTCTGCAAGAAAACAGCCAAGCTCAGAGTGCACCAAGGACCCCTCAGTCCTCCTCCTCCTCCTTTAACACTGATGATGTTCCCTAGTAGGGTCATGAAATGTCTGCAAGGAAACCACCAAGCTCAGAGTGCACCAACGACCCCACAATCCTCCTCCTCCTCTGCAAGCCCCACTCCGTTCTGCCACTGATGATGTCACCTAGTTGGGTCATGAAACGTCAGCAAGAAACCCCCAAACTCAGCACCAAGGACCCCCAGAGTGCTTTTCCTCCTCGCCCTCACCCCTCCTTGTCCCTTCCCTCTTCATCCCTTCCCGTCCCTCCCCATTAAAGTCAACCCTTCTTACATTACGCTTTGCTACCTACCACATCTAAGACAGCGGCCTGCTCAAGACCGAAGAGTCCTTTTCGTGTGCCCCCCCCCCAGCAGCAGCTTCTTAGCTGCCCACGTGATTGTGTGTTGTGTGTGTTTCCCGTAAGAGCTTAACACAAGGGCACTTCTGCAGACGGCGGCGTTCTCTGCAAGCGCTTAACCACAGAGCCTCTTCCCGGTTAATGCGTCTGCTCTTTCGCTCGGACAGACGAGGGAAGGGATTTGAGGTGAGGTCTCCAAGGTTACCCACGCTGAAACCTGGCAAAGCACTCCTCTTTCTCCCTCCGGCCCCCCCTCTCCCAATTCCCAGCGGTGTTTCCTTCCTATGGAGAGAAAGATTTTTTTTTTTTTTAAAATCTCAATCTTCTATAAAAGCTTTTAAGCGCTGTAGCTGGTGAGAGAAAGGGAAGCTTGCCAAACAAATTAGAGGAGAGGTGGTTTACCGGAGTGTGCAAAAAAAAAAAAAAAAAAAAAATGATGGATCCCCACACAGTTTGCAATAATGTGAGATTGCCAGATTTTTTTTTTTAGCTGTAGAGCCCTTCCTGTCAAAGCTTTCCTTGAAAATAGCTGGCGTTTTGGATGCCCTTCCCTGTTCCCGGTTTGGTCCAATGAATCTTGCGCACGTCTGAATTATTGATAGCTTCCAGCAGTTTTTGGAGATTTGGGGCGAGCAGACATGGAGAGGGAGAAGTAACTGAAGCTTAAGTAAATTAGGAGCTGGCCAGATTTGGCTTTTTTTTTTTTTTCCCTTCCTCTCCCAGCAAAACTGCAGCGCCAGCAGTTTTGGCTGTCCATTGCTTGGGCCCAGAGGGAAATAGTGAATAAATGATTTCTTATTAAATACCAGAGATTAGCCAGAGATGTTTGGCTGTGGAGTTTTTTGGAAGGATCAGCATTTCTGTCCTCCGATTACTTTGGACGTGAGTGGAATCATTGACAGCAGAGTTTCTCAACCTTGGCAAGTTTAAGACGGGTGGACTTCAACTCCCAGAATTCTCCAGACATCCTCTCTCTTTCTGCTTCCTTCCTTCCTTCCTTCCTTCCTTCCTTCCTTCCTTCCTTCCTTCCTTCCTCCCTCCCTCCCTCCCTCCCTCTCTCCCTCCCTCCCTCCCTCTTTCCTCTCTTTCTTTTTCTTCCTCCCTCCCTCCAGTTCTTCCAATGTGTATCCCCATTGTTGCCTGCTTACTCTCTTATAACCTCTTCCTCTGCAATCTCTCCACTCTGTGGATGGGGATGGGCGAGGAAAAAAAAAGAGGATGGTTGGCTGAGGAATTGTTGAGAAACGCTGACTTACAGCATCCTTAATTAGAATTTTGGGATACACAGGAGCAAGATATTAAGCAGGGAAGGAGCAACGTCTCTGTATGAGAAATCTTCTAGTCCCCCCCCCTCCACCCGGGCCCCAGTTTGAAATCCAGTTTTAGAAGAATGCTGGAATTAGTATTAGACTTAAACATACCCCTCTGGCTTGACAGGTCAGCTCTCTTTACCCTGGACAGACAGCCCTCCCTGACGTCATTTCACTGTGTCTGTATTGGGTGGCCTGTTTTTTGTTCTGTCTTCTAAAAATAATAGCGAAAAAGCGCCGGAAAATGTGTTTGTGTGGGTTGGGTATGGAGGCTTGGCTGTGAACTCAGCCTCCAAACTTCAGGTTTGGATAATAATGTCTCTCTTTTAATTTCCAGTGCTCAGCGACCCCCAGACCCGAGCCATCTACGACATTTATGGAAAACGAGGCCTTGAAATGGAAGGATGGGAGGTAAGAAGAAGAGAGAGCTGCTGGCCGGGCAGTCTGGTCTCCATCTTGGCCTGGGGTGTGTGTGTCTGTTTGGGGTGGGAAAGGAGAAAAGCCCAAGTCTAACAGAATAACAGAGTCAGGAGGGACCTTGGAGGTCTTCTAGTCCAACCCCCTGCTCAAGCAGGAGACCCTAGACCATTCCAGACAAGTGGATATCCGATCTCTCCTTCAAAACCTCCAGTGTTGGAGCACCCACAATCTCTGGTGGCAAGCAGTTCCACTGGTTAATTGCTCTCACTGATAGGAACTTTCTCCTTAATTCCAGGTTGCTTCTCTTCTTGATTAGTTTCCATCCGTTATTCCTTGTCCTGCCTTCAGGCGCTTTGGAGAATAAATAAGTTGACTCCCTCTTCTTTGGGGCAGCCCCTCAAATATTGGAAGATGCTATCATGTCACCTCGAGTCCTTCTTTTCTCTAGACTGGCCATACCCAATTCATGCAACAGTTTGGATGCTTGAAGTCTCCTGCTTCAGGTGGGGGTTGGACTAGAGGACCTCCAGGGTGTCCTAACCCTAGGATTCTATTACAATCAGGGGAACGGCTTCCCTCCAGAAGTGGTGGCTGCTCCATCCCTGGAGGTTTTCAAAAAGAGACTGGACAGCCTTTTGTCCAAGATTACACAGGGTCTCCTGCTCGAGCAGTGGGTTAGACTAAATGACCTCCAAGGTCCCTTCCAACCCTCCGGTATTTGCTTAAAAAGAAAGAGCGCTTTGAACACTGCTTCGGTTTTGAAGGACATTCAGTGTCCCTTCGGACCCTCTTTGCTCAGACTTTATTCCAGCCTTGACCGACAGATTTGATGGGTGGAATGTCAGAAGTTTGAATAATTAGTTTTGGCCCCCGTGTCACACCGAGCCCAGATGCCTGGCTCCTAAAACCCAACGGGAAAAAAACACAACCCCCCCCCCAAAAAAACTAGCGAGAATTCTATAATTTGACACCAGTGCCCCCAGAGGTCTAATCATTTCTGTGAATTTATGGAAAATAAACAGAAGAAGGCTGGTTTTCTTTTAAACACACACACACACACACAGCATCGCTGTAGGAAATGTTCATTAAATTGGCGATGGAGAGAGACAGCGGATGATTTAAAGAGCAGGAAATTTGGATGGCTGTGTCAGCCAGAGAGTGTCGAGGTGTTTGTTAAGAGCTAGAGGAAACAGCGGTGACATTTAAAAAATAATAATAATAAAAAAAAGATCTACATCTGGGGCCGTTCTCTCTTTTTCCAATTTATGTTCTTTTTACGAAAATGGAAAATTGAAATCGTGCCATTTTGTTGAATTTAGAGATGAGATGGAAAGGAAGGGGAAAATAAAAAATAACTGCCTTGGGAAGAGTCACTGAAAGAAATAGACATTTGTCCTGGAATTACGACCAAGATTGAGCCTCAGATTTGTGTTGCTAAGAGAGACATTTGTCAAGCTGAGGACTGCCTGTCCTGTGTAGCACGTCTTCCTAGGAGTAGCAGAAGCCATACTAGAGGTAGCAGCTGAGAAGGAAGGATGGCTTAGAAAGGGGGGGGGGAATATAGGTGGGCCCTCTTTTTTTTTTTTGAACCCAGCCTTATTTTTTTTCCTAACCTTTTTTTTCCGAGAGAAATGAGGGTGACCTTGCTCGGCTCCACTGCGGAACCCATCTCTCTAACCCCCTAACCCACCAATTTCCCCAAGAAAAGCGTCCACAATGAGGTTGACCCAGGGCCAAATGTTTTTAACCTTGGGGTCAGTCCTCGCAGATGTGCCCAGACTGCCTAAAATAACTGGCTTTTTTTTTTTTTGAGGCCAGAAAAACAGCATTTTTCCCCCCTGCCCCCAAAAGGAAAGAGAGATAAAGTCATTTACAGCAAAGTTCCATTCCTCCTGACTCTCTGCTCGAGGTCTTCCACATCCAATTTCACCTCTCTTGGCCCCACGAATAATTTAATCCCCTCGGTTTTTCGTGCTGGTGGTTTGAGAGCTTGAGCTGGGGACGTGTGTGGGTGGGTGGGTGAGTGGGTGGGTGGGATTTCTTCCCCAAAATCTCCGCTGAAGGACGGTCTTCTCGGTAACCTGGAAAAGTGCCCTGATTTGGGGAAAACCCACCTGGCTTATAAGGTCGTCCTCTTCTTAACAACCACAGTTTTGTTTGTTCCAAGCTGGTATCTGCTAACACAAATGAGCTCCCAAGGTGAATTCCTGCCCCCTTTTAGGTGGTCGAGAGGAGAAGGACCCCCGCCGAAATCCGGGAGGAATTTGAACGGCTGCAGCGCGAGAGGGAGGAGAGGCGGCTTCAGCAGCGGACAAACCCCAAAGTAAGACTTTGCGAAGTTGTCGAAAGCCGCCGAGTTTGCGCTTGTCCTCCTGTTGATAAATATATGTATTTTAAGAGAAGGTGAGTTTAAACATCCAAGCCCTCGTGCTGTGAAGGAAAACCCCGTAAGGATGATAAACGAGGAACTTCTATGTTCCACCATGCAGCTAGCCCTCAACTCATGATCGCAATTGGGACTGGCATTTCGGGCGACGACTTGGCGACGCAGTCATTAAATGAGTCGTCGTGGTGGAATGTGTAGGGGGTAGATAACCTATTAACTCCTCCTGCCTCCCCCTTCAGCTACACTTTCCACCAAAGTCGTCCTGTGACTGGATCCAATTTTGCGGCCATTTTCACCACAGTCATTAAGTGCATCACGTCACTGTGTGAATCACCAAGGATCTGTTCCGTTCCGCAGGGTACCATTAGCGTCGGAGTAGACGCTACCGACCTGTTTGACCGTTACGAGGAGGACTACGAAGACGTGCCAGGCAGCCCGTTCCCCCACCTTGAAATCAACCGAATGCACATATCCCAGTCCATCGAGGTAAGGGGGCTTGTTTTTCCCCATTTCGGCCCCCAGAGGGTGCCCCAAAAACCTTCAAAGAGCCTCGTCCGGCTCCTTCCCAACCTGGCTCACTCACGCGATCTGTTCGTCCTGCAGGCCCCTCTCACGACCACGGACACCGCCATCCTCTCAGGAAATCTCTCTACGCAGAATGGCAACGGCGGTGGCTCCGTCAGCCTGGGTCTCCGGCGGGTGACCTCCGCCAAGGGCTGGGGAGAGGTAAATGGGGCGGGTGGGTGACTGTGATGGGGAGACTCCAACTGCTGGGACTTCAAATCTGGGTCTATAAGTAGATAGATCTAACCTAACTTCAAGCGGTCGCTAAGTAAGCAGTCGTAAGTCGAGGACTCTCTGTAACTTCTTTTCTTCTGTTGGTGCAGCTAGAATTCGGAGCAGGAGACTTGCAGGGCCCCGTCTTTGGCCTGAAGATGTTCCGGAATCTCACGCAACGATGGTAAGGCTTTGTAAACAAACCGCAACACTCCCGCAAAGCTCCCTTCACAGCTGTCTCGCTTAGTGACCGAAACGTCGGGCTCCCTTGTGGTGGAGCACCTGCAGTTCCGTTCCCCTTGCAGGGCGATTCTCACTTCCGCTCAATTTCTTTCCGCTTTGACCTCCCCGTCAGCTTCATCACCACTAACTGCGCCCTCCAGTTCTCCTCGCGAGGGATCCGTCCCGGACTTACGACGGTCCTGGCCCGAAATCTCGATAAGAACACTATGGGATACCTGCAGTGGCGCTGGGGTCTCCAGTCAGCCATGAACACCAGTCTAGTCCGGGACACCAAAACCAGCCACTTCACCATGGCCTTCCAGGTGAGAAAGGTCTTCCTTTACGACAGCAGAAGAAGTCCTCGGCTTACGACCTACTTGGGAGTGGAATTCCCACTCCTGAGCAAAGCCTTCGCTGAGTGAATCGTGCTCCATTTTTCCACCTTTTTTCTCTCATCTGGCCACTGAGCAAATCGGGCTTTTCCCTCGACTTTGCTTGTTTGATTTGATTTGGTTTGTTATTATTTATTTTTGGCCATGTTTCAGCTGGGCATCCCTCACTCCTTCGTCATGGTCAGCTACCAGCACAAGTTTCAGGACGAAGATCAGACGCGGGTCAAAGGATCCCTGAAGTACGTCAGGGCCGGCGGGTGGGCGCTGAATGGGCCCTGGAGGATAAAGCTGATGGGGAGGGGCTTCGTAAAATTGGGGTTGGGAAATTGTTAGAGCAGTTGATCTCTGGAGGGAGATCGGGGCCACTGGCGACCTGTCCTGTCTTTCCTCAGCAATATATAAAAATGACCTCCAAGGTCCTGTAATTCTATGACTCTGAGATAAGTAAGGTGCATGACAGACAGATGGAGGGAGGGAGGGAGGGAGGGAGGGAGGGAGGGAGGAAGGAAGGAAGGAAGGAAGGAAGGAAGGAAGGATAGAACCACTTGCCTCCAGATGTTGTGGGGACATCATCCCTGGAGGTTTATTAGCAGAGATTGGACAGCCAATCTGAAATGGTAGGGGGTCTCCCGCTTGAGCAGGGGGCTGGACTAGAAGACCTCTGAGGTCCTTTCCAACTCGGCTATTCCACCTTCCTTTAAGGTGTCCCTTTTTCCCCCTGGCAGGGCTGGCTTTTTCGGCACCATCGTGGAGTACGGAGCGGAGCGGAAGATCTCCAAACACAGCATCCTCGGGGCCACGGTCAGCGTGGGGTTGCCCCAGGGCGTCTCTTTGAAGATCAAGTAAGTGAGTTGCCCAGGGTGCACCGCCCTCGGTCCCTGTCTTTCTGCTCGTCCTTGTCAGAACCTGGAGGATAGGGGGGGTAGAGGTCTCCCCTGTGTGTAAATGCCAGGAGGGTTGGCATCGATGGGCATCTTCTAAGTCTAAAGCAAGGGTCTTCAAACTGGGCCACTTTAAGACTTGTGGACTTCAACACTCCCTGTCCAAAAATAAAAAATATAAGAGATGATAATTTGCAGATGCTAGCATATTTCCTCCTCCCCCTTTCTCCTGCCTTCTAGGCTAAACAGGGCCAGCCAGACGTATTTCTTCCCCATTCACTTGACGGATCAGCTCCTGCCCAGCGCCGTTTTCTACGCCACGGCTGGACCTCTGGTCTTCTACTTCGCCATGGACCGGCTGATCATCCAACCTTATCTGCGGGCGCAGAAGGAGAAGTGAGTGCCCCAGAGCTGTGGGCAGGTCTGAAGGGGGTCTCTCGCCTAGCTGTGGTGGGAGCTGACCACCGGAGTTGAGGGCTTTGTAGCTTTGTAGTTTTCTGGACAGACCAGGAATGGCTTGTAGATGGATGGATGGATGGAAAGAGAGAGAGATGATAGGTAGGTAGGTAGATGATAGACAGACTACATGAGATGTAAGAGGGGAAGAAGGATAGATGGGTGGGTGGATGGATGGATGGATGGATGGATGGATGGAAAGAGACAGATGATAGGTAGGTAAGTAGATGACAGACAGACAGACTACATGAGACGCAAGGAGGGGGAGAAGGATGGATGGATGGATGGATGGAACAGCTTGCCTGAGAGATTGTGAGTGCCAGCACTTGGGAATGGCATTGCCAGGGATCCCCATCCTCCTTTTGGGGCTCCCCTCCAGGGTGCTGGCAGAGAGAGAGGGAGGGAGAACCGATCTGGACCCCACAAAACCCCCTTTTTCTCCCATTAGAGAATTGGAGAAGCAACGCGAGAGCTGCTCCAGCGATACCTTGCAGAAGAAACAGGAAGCCGAAGCTGCCGTAAGTCTCTCGTCTTCCTTTGAACATTACAGCAATATTTCTCAACCTTCCCAACTTTAAGACCTGAAGACTTCAACTCCCAGAATTCCCCAGCCAGAAGGAGCCTGGCTGGCTGGGGAATTCCGGCAGTGGAAGTCCACGGGTCTTAAAAGTCACCAAGGTTGAGAAACACGTATTTCCAGATCAGGTCTTCTCTTGAGTCGGAGAAGAAGCCGGCCTGGCTTTCTCCAACCGACTTCCAGAGGCCCTCAGCATCCTGCCAAACCAACAAGCCACAAACAGATCAGGGCTTGATAATAACAGCCCCTCAGAAGCCTGAAATTCTTAACCTTGTAGCAGGGTTAAGGTCTGCCAGCTTCATTCTCTCTCCTCCTCTGCTGCGCAGGTGCGGCTGATGCAGGAGTCGGTCCGGAGGATCATTGAGGCCGAGGAAGCCAGGATGGGTGCGTAAAGCTGGTTTGTCTCTTTTGCCGGCCTTCTGCCCCTGTTTTGAGGCCCTGCTTCGACTAACACCTCCCCGAATCTAACCCTGTCGCCTTCTCGCCCCTCCAAGGCCTGATTATCGTCAATGCCTGGTACGGGAAGTTCGTCAACGACCAGAGCAGGCGGGACGAGAAGGCCAGGGTGATTGACGTGACGGTGCCCTTACAGTGCCTGGTCAAGGATTCGAAACTCATCCTCACCGAAGCCTCCAAGGTAAGGACGGTGCTAGGACGGAGAGAGGCTCTTTTCTGCTCAGGATCCGGTCTCTTCTGGGTTGCCGCTCTGCACGAGCTCAGGAGCTCTCTTCTCCCACCACAGTCCAAGCAACCCTCCTTTTGAACTCCCGCAGGCCGGCCTGCCCGGATTCTACGACCCTTGCGTTGGCGAAGAGAAGAACTTGAAAGTCCTCTACCAGTTTCGCGGCGTTCTCCACCAAGTGATGTCGGCGGACAACGAGGCCCTTCGGATACCAAAGCAGTGTGAGTGCTGGCCCTTTAAATCTCCTGCTTGAGTGGGGAGGGGGCTGGACTAGCAGACCTCTGTGGTCCCTTCCAGCTTCATTCTGATTCTAAATAATCTTTTCTTCCAAAACCACATTAACTGGGCAGAGCTTGCCCGTGAATTTGCTACACCAACTTAAATTCTGTTGTTAATATATTTACTTATATGCCGCCGACTATTTACCATCAAATTTTCCCGCGGCGCCGTATTTATTTCCCTCCCCCCCCCATTTTGCTTTCCCAATCTTTCACGGTCTGGCTTTTCCTGAAGCTTCCTTCAGTTGCAGGTGACCTCTGCAGACCCCGTCAGCATATGAATGTAAAGCTATATATATAAAAAAAGCAGGTTTTTGTCCTGCTAAATTGCCTCCTTTGAGACTTCCTTCCCTTGTGTTAGTTATATGCCCATCATATTTTAATTTCTCTTTTATTTGTCTCTTCTCCTTGCTTGTTCCACCAACAGCCCACCGGATCGATATGGACAGCTAATGCAGCAGCACGGAGCTGCCTGGGGGAGGCGCCCCCGGCTCGGCAGAAACAGCCCCCCCCCCTTTCTGGATTCGAAACGGCTTCACACCCTTTGGACAAGCAACTTCTTCTAGAGGAAAAAAAATTAGGTGGCTTTTGCACCCGTGACCTTGGCAGAGAGAAGGAACCACAGCCACCTATTTTACAGGTGCCCAGGGTGCTCTCCCCTCGTCCTCCATCACCCGGGCACGCTGTGGGACAGGAGGGTCCAGGACCAACCTCCCCCCCTCAAAAAAACCCCCACAACCCTTGTCAAAGAGGCAAGGTCAGTTTTAACCACTCAATCGCCCAACACGTCCGGCATCCAGCAGCGTAAAAAGGTGAAAAAGGAGGGGAAAATAATTAGCCATCCGCCCGGTTAGATGCCAGAGGCGGGCAGTGTGTCCACTCCAGGCATCGCTGACCCGATGGGATCCTGCTAGCTTTCTTTCTTGATCAAACCAGGATCTTCGGCCTTCAAGATCAGCCACCGTCACCGGGCAAGGCTCCAGGCTACTTGAGACTCCCGTCTCCCAGCACCGCAGGGTTGGCTAAACCGGACGCCGATGCGGACTGCGGCTCTCGTCGCCTTCCTTTGCGGATCAGCTCTTTGGGGAAAGACACCCCCCCTCCAAGTTTCTGAATTGGAGCCTCTTCCTAGATGTTGGGAATCTGTCGGCTCCTTTCTTCTCCTCGATCCTGGAAAGGCTGTGGTCAACTCTGAAACCAGGTATTTCCCCCACATCTTAGGCCAACGTCCGTCAGGCAGAAATGTTTTTTGTTTTGGTTCACACACTTCCCGAAAGTTCCTTTCTCTCTGCGCTGCTCGTCTAATTTTTCCTTCTGGGGTTGAGATATTACTACTACTAATAATAATAATCGTAGCAGCCCAAAACCACACACTGTTGTTTTATTCCCGTTCACCGTTACTCGCTCTTTGCAACCAGCCCAGAGCCAGGCCTGGAACCCGCTGCCGAAGGGTCCCATCATTGCTGACGGACAGCAATTTTGTGATCCCCTCCTCCTTCCTCCCACCCTCCCCATCAGTGAGCTCCTGAGGGTGTGTGTGTGTGTGTGTGTGTGTGTGTGTGTGTGGAGAGGGGTGTTGCCTCTGGTTCTTCCTGTAACATCGAAGGACAATAAAACCACCCAATTTTGTGAAGGACGGAGTCTGTGTGAGATGGGGAGGGGGTTGGATGACCAAATAAGGGGGCATGTTGGGGATGGCACTGCCAGAAGGGGGGAAAAAAATCTCTGTGGATTTACAGAGCATTGCTAAATGGTGGCTGAGTTTAGAACGTAGAATCATAGAGCTGGAAGGGGCCTCAAAGGCCATCTAGACCAACCCCCTGCTCAGGCAGGAGACCTTATATGCCATCCAGGATAAACAGTTGTCCAGTCTTTAATAAGGCACCATGGTTGGGTTAATGGGTTGATACTTGAACGTTTTCTTACAAAAGATTTTCTTTGCCCCGTTGTGTATCAAGATGCATTTTGCGGTTTGTAGAGAAAGGGAAAGAAGAGACCAGCCCCATACACTTGCAAATTAAAGTTTGGGCCTTCCCCCCCCAAAACAAAATCCATACATCAACATTATTTTTAATGCAAAGTCGTTTTGGGGGGGGGTGTAAGAAGAAAGCAGCTGGCAGACAGGCAAGATAGGGATTCGAACTCGGACACAGGATTCCATAAAACAAATAATTTTAATTGTTTTAAAAAATTAAAGCTCTTGAACTGAGATTGTACACAGACAAAACCCTCGATACACGGCTGTTTGGGGGCGGGGGCTGAAGACCTCAGCGGTTTTTGGCGATAGGGACCCCCCCGCCCCATCAAACGTGGCTAACCAAAGAAGAAAGGAACGGAAAAAATAGTCCTGGCGTAGAGTCCCAAAAAGAAACTGGAAATTTCCTTCACGCACGACAGCCGGAGATTTTCCAGTGGGATGGCTGGATGGTTCCCACGTTAAGAGAGTGATCTGAGTGGATCTTGCAGAGTGAAGGATCCAGGAATCCACCTTCTCCAGACTGACTTTTGGGACGCGGCCAAAGGCTTTCACAGCACAACACCAGAAACAGACCAGGAATATCTTACTTATCAATCAAAGATGACGGGAAGGGGTGGGGTCTTCCCCCCCACTTTCTCCCCCCACCCATCAGAGAAGGTGCCGTGCAGTGTCTCTTTAAAAAGGTCCAAAAAGCAGCACCGACTGACTGACAGCTGAACCGAGGTCCACCCCTCCCTAGCCCCTCACCCACTCATCCCATTGGGCTGTCCAGCTTTTCGGACCCTCGGCTCAGTCTCAAAGCACCAGGAAAAAAGTTTGTCCTTCTCCCCTCCCCAAAAGGAAGGGGCAATTCCCCTTTTTTAAATCCTAATCGGCTGAAATCTTGTCACTTGGATAGAGGGGTCCCAGTGCTCCTGCTGTCAAAATAAGATGATTATTATTTTTTTGCATCGTTCCCGTCTTTCCAAACTCAGCTCGTGGGAGGTTGTTCCAGAATCAAGGGCTTCCCAAATCTTTGGACTGACCTCTGGGAGAAAGAGAGTCACTTCTGTAAACGGTCCTGGTCTCCAAATCTGTGCTTCGAATAACGAGAGTTTATAAAAAAATTTCTCGTCTCCTGTAGAGATACCTTTTGTGGATCTGGTTTGCACCTCAATCCCTCCCCGAATGGTGCCCTGGTCAGCTCCCCGTTATTTCCCTTTGTGCTCCCAAGACAAGGAGACCAGGAAGACCCTCCCAGACCCCCTTCGCCCCACTTTTGCAGCCGGGAATCAGTTCGACTTCCAACGGGAAATCAGGCGATCCAGAAGATCGGAGGGTCTCACTCGCTCTCCACTGCGGCCTACCAACTCAACCCCCCCAAATTTCGAGGTTCGGCACCCACCAGCTCCCAGCCGGCTTAGTCCAGGAAGTGCCGGCGGGAGCCCGTCCGGGAACGGCTGGACCGTCGGATGTCGAATTTGGAATCTCGGCATTTCTGGCAGACGTAAACCTCGGGAACGTTGGATTTGCGGATTTTGGCACAGGAGAGGTGGATCCAGGTGTGGCATTCCTTGCACTCGATCATGGGGCGCCCGGCGAAGGGCTTCATGCAGAAGCAGGTGACCAGGTCCCAGGAATCATCATCTGTCAAGGTCCAGAAAAAAAGGGGGGGTCAGTGGAGGAGAAGGTCCGGGAGAGTCAGAAAAATGGGAAACTTTTGGGATTGAATTGCTTTTCCAGTTCCAAGGTGGCCAGGATTCAGCGCACCCAACTGGCATCTATTTGGTATATTATTTATTATCCCGCATTTATTATTTCTATAAATATTTCAGGGGGCTGAACCTACCCAATAGTCCTCCCTCTTCCTATTTTCCTCACAACGACAACGCTGTGGGGTGTGTTTAGTTGAGAGAGAGGGACTGGCCAAAAGTCACCAAGATTGAGAAACACTGCTGAGGAGATACCCCATCTTCTAACGGTCTGTAGCCCCCTGACCCGCTCCTCACCATCTTCATACGGGCCTCCGCGTTCGAGAGATTCCCACAAGGGTTACCTGAATCCACCATGATGTCCTCATCGTCTCCGCTGCCGTCCTCGTCCCGGAAGACCACCTGCTTCCCTTGCCGTATGATGGTCCTCTTGCCCACCGTTTGGACAAGGCTCTGCTCCGGTGCAGCGGCTGCGTAGGGGGGATTCGACGGGGTGTCTGAATCCCAGGCTGAGCAGCGGCCTGTGGAGGACTGAGCGTCCCCTTCAGAGGATGGGCTGAGCGGGGTCTCGGCGTACGGCTCTTCTCCTCTCTCCCGCAGCCTTTCCTCTTCTTCGGGGTACTTGATGTCTGGCAGCGCTGCGTCCTTCCTCACCAGCCGCCGTTTCTTCCGAAACTTCTCCATTTTTTTCCGGTCCACCAAAAATCCGTTGGGCTTTGTCCACTGGTAGAGCGAGGAATAGGCCTTGCCATGTTTGAGTTGACTGAAGCTCTTCCGGGCTTTTCCTGGCACGGAGACGTGTCCCAAAGGAGTCTCCCCTCCATCACTGTCAATGGCCCCCCGAGTACTGTTGGGGGAGCTGGCGCTGCTCCAGCCAGATGTGTCCTGCAGGCACAGAAAACTCTTTAAAACAGCCACATCGATATTTTTTTTCTTTAGAAAGTGCTATGGATTAAGACGGCCTGGAAATTTGAGGTGAGGGGGAGAAAAGCACCCTCTTTTTGCAGCTCTCTCAAACCTGACACAGCATTTCCAAGGATATGGGAGGAATCGCCAAGGCTGTGTGACTGGAGGAAAAAAGGCAGTAGCTTTAAAGACTGTGGCTGCTTCCTTCACCCTTCTGCTGCCCTGTTTCTGCATCTTTTCTCCCGCAGAACAAGGATCCCCTCGGCAGCCTTTGCAGAAAAGATGCGGCAACTTGAATGAGTTTCAGGCTTGGTCCACATTCCCCAGCCCCACCCCATTTCTGGAGCTCTTCTCAAGCATCACAAGGGATCCTGAGAAAAGTTCCTTAATGGCTGTGCAATTGAAGAAAGCAAGCAACCACAGAAGAGATGTGGCAGCTTTCAACAGTTCCAATTGTGTCCCACAGTTCCTTTCCTCCTGCCTATTTCTGCATCTTTTCTCAAGCCCTACAAGGGTCCCAGGGAACAGCCACATTTGGCTGTGCATTTGCAGACAAGATGCAACAGCAGAGAAGATGCGGCAGCCTTAAAGAATGCCCAAGTTTCCTCACCCCCTCCCATTTCTGCCTCTTTTCTCACACACCACAAATCGCCCTGGGGGGTGGGGACAGCCACTCTTGGGAGCTCCCGCTGCCCAATTGCAGAAAAGAGGTGGCAGTTTTAATGAGTCCACATGTGGCCCCCATTCCCTCCCCCACCCTCCTCTTTCTGCATCTTTTCTCAATCCTTATAAGGGTCCTGGCAAACAGCCATTCTTCACAAAAGATGTGGCAGCTTTCAAGAGTGCCAGTAACGCCCCACGGTCCCTCCCACCCACACTTCTGAATCTTTTCTCATGCGGGACAAGAGTCCCCAGTGGGAGGGGGAGACAGCTGCTCTTTGTGGCTGTGGGATTGCAGAAAAGATGCAAGGCAGAAACGATGTGGTGGCTTTAAAGAGTTCCAGTCCTCACTCACATTCCCTCTTGCCTTTCTGAAGCAGCCTAGACTCCTAACCTTGGTGGCCCCTGCTGGTTTCCCAGGCACGGGAAGCCGATCTTTGTCCTTTTGCAGCCCTGGACAAAGCCTCCAAAAGCTGGGGTGTCCAATGCCACCCCACCCCCGCCCCCAAATTCCCCTCCAGCCTCCCCCCCACTCCCCTTTCTTTCGCTCAGCTGTTCAAAGGACGGGACCCCCAGCCCTCTTTGCCAATGAGCGCGGCTTCCCCCTCCCGCCGCCGGCCCTGACTGCCCGGCAGGACTTTGCAAGACCCCCTTATCGGGGCTCCCCCCGCCCCGAAAAAAGCTCCCCCCCACCTCGTGCGGGTACGGGATGTAACCCGCGTAGGCCAGGACGAAGGTGCAAAAGTTGTTGAAATCCTCCACCGTCCGGCAGCGCTTGGAGCCCGGGGGGAAATCCTGCGAAGGAGAGGGGGGGGAGAGAGAGAGAGCGACGGTGATTTGAGGAGGGGGCGAAGGGGCGGCGGCGGGGAAGGCGCTGGGCAGGGAGAAAGGGGAGGGGGGGCGGCGATGGGGGGGGCTTTTCTCGAAGGGAGGGGCGGAGCTTTGCAGCGGGTGGCGGGGGGGCGTTTTGCAAACAGGGAGGCGCCCCCCACCCAGCCAGCCAGCCGAGGCTTCTGCTGCCCCCCCCCCACCGCTTCCAGCCATGGGGGGCGTCAAGCTAAGCCGGGACCCTTTCAAAGGGACGGTGCAATTGCTACCTCGCCCCCCCCCACGCACCGATCAGGCCCGCCTCCCACCCTCTTTTCAACGCTGCAAAAAGGGCAGGCTGGGGGGCGCAGAAAGGGGGAAAGCTGCCCCCGGGGGGCGCGGAAGGGGACCCCCCCATGCAAACGCCCCCTCCCCGTTGCATTCCAGCAAATCGGCACGGGGGGGTCCTTTTGCAGCAAGAGGGGGGCCGGTTTCTCCCACCCCCCCAATCTCCGTGGGCGTGGCCAGGGGTTCCCAGTGTCAGCCCCGGGGAGAGGGATGCCCCGGGGGGAGACTCACTTCGGGGGGCGGCGGGGAAGCGCAGGAGTCCGAGTCCATGGCGGGGGTCTCCTCCGGCGTCGCCCGGTACCGGCAGCGGAGTTTGGGGTGGGCGGGGAGAGGGGGAGCCCCGCCCTGCAAGGCTAGGGAGAGATTTGCCCCCCCCCTTCGTAGGCTCCGCCTCTGCTCGCAGCTGCTGCGCCTGCGTGGCGCGCGCCGCTTGCCGGGAATCGTAGTTCCCGTTCCGAATTAGGCAGCCTAGCTTTCAGTTGGCGCATGCGTATCGCCCGGCCACGCGCATGACATGCCGGGAAACGTAGTCCAAAGACTCTACCAGGGACTTTTCCAGACACTTTGATTTTATTTCTCTCCCACCCCTCGCCGTTGCTAAAATGGAGGAAGGATTTTATTTTTTATTTCCATCCCCCTTTTCTTCGTCTATTAGGGCTCCTTTCCAGTTTCTGCGCCCGAAGCCGAGGGGATGCGATGGGGGCGAATGTTCCTCCTTTCCCCATGAGGACTAGAAACTCGCCTTCTTTGCACCCTCCTTTTAAAATTAATGGCGCTCATTTGCATTTGAAGCCCGGTGCTCAGCAGCAAAGAAAAGAGAGTTGATGGGCCATAACTTGAGAAAGGGCTGATTTTTCCCCTCCCCAAAAAAGGAGAGTGGGCATAATTGATACCTTTTGTTTTGCTTTGATTTCTGCTTTTTTGTTTTCTTTCTTCTGTTTTCAGTGTGTCTGAAGTTGGAGGGGTTTGGCTCCAGTGCATCACCTGGGACTGTGCTTGTGGTGGTGGTGGGGAAATGGGAGAAAAATAGAAAAATAACCTGGTCCTTCCCCATTTCTTTGGGGTGCTGTTTACAAGATTTACAATCTCCCCAAACAGCAAAGGCATTGGCTTTCCTAAACTCTCCTTGAGCGTAGTAACCCTTTTAGATTCCAAAGCAAGGAAATATTTGACAGGCAGTCCTAGCCTTACGACAATTCCCCCCCCCATTTTCCGTTGCTAAGCAAGACCATTGTTAAAGGAGTTCTGCCTTTTTACGACCGTTGTTGCTGTGTGAAACGAATCACTGCGGATGCTAAACTAATCACACCATTATTATCCGGCTTTCCCTATTGGCTTTGCTTCTTAGAAGGTCCCAAAACGGGCGACACATCACCTGGGGGGACTCTGCCACCGTCATAAGTACAAGCCGGTCGCCGAGAGTCCGCATTTTGATCACGTGACCACAGGGCATGCCGCAGTGATTCGAAAATGCGAATCGGTCATAAGTTACCTTTTTTCATGCAGTTGTAGTTTGGAAAGGTCATTAAATGGATCGTTGCAAGCCGAGGATGACCAGTATTAAATTTCCACTCTGCCTTTATCACTTTGTACGTTCGGTGTGTAAACAACTTCAGACGGACACGGACAGGTGAGGCAAGGAAAGAAGACCCCAGAAGCAGCCTCTAAATTCAGAAATGTCAGGGACCACCCAAAATAACAGCTGTGCTTCTTCTGCCCTTGAACCCTCCTGTCTCCCCAGCGGTGCCAGGGGTCCCCAAATTCCCTTCAAGGGACAGGAGTGACCGACAGACCTCCTGGACTTCCAATTTTCTGCAGCTTTCAACCCTAGCCTCCAAAAAGGGGTCCCACCTTGAAAAATAATTGGAAAAACAAATTAAAAAATTGCTGCAGAGGAAGCTCGATAAAGGCAATCCTCTCGACTTCCAACGATTCGTTTAGTGACCATTTGAAGTTACAGTGAAAAAAGGGACTTAGGATGTCTTTCACACTTACGACCTTTCTTTGCAGTTGGCACCCTGCTGGCACACAGTTTGCCCCCCCCCCACCCTCCGTCTCAGGAGGGTGTTGACAGCTAGGATGCCTCCTTGCATAAACGCCACGTTGGCACCGGGTTCAAGTCACGGGGCAATCCAGCGCCTCGTTCCCCAACGAGGCGCCCGTGAGGCTGCTTTGATTTGCAAGAATTTGGGGGGGGTGCGGGGGGGGGGCAGGATCGCTCGCCTTTGGCTGAACTGGCTCCTGGGATCTGTATGTGTGTGTAGAATCCGAGCAGGGCAGCCTCCCCCCCCCCAAGCTTGGATCGGGCCAGCGGGATTCTGCACCCGGGTCCACCCAGCCGCCCCTTCCCCAACTGGGCGCCCCCATGCCCACTCCGCTTTGCCAGCCTTCAGGGAGAGGGTTAGGGTGGGGGATCCTTGCAGGGCAGCCCCCTCCCCAAGAGGCGGACCGCCCCCTCCCCGCCCCTCCGAGGTCCGCCCAGGAGGCGGGCACCTTGCGCGGGAGGAGCCCCGCGCGATCCCCGCGCGCTCAGTCCGCCCCTTCCAGCCATGGAGGCGGAAGCGGCGCACGCCTCGGCCCTCCTGCGCGGCCTGGCAGGGCTGCGCGCCGAGCGGGCGCTGCTGGACGTGACCCTCCTGGCCGGCACCGGAGAGGAATTCGGCGCGCATCGCGCCGTGCTGGCCGCAGCTTCGGGCTACTTCCGAGCCATGTTCGCCGGCGGCTTGCGCGAAGCCCGAGCCTCCCGGGTGAGGCTGCACGGAGTGGAGCCGGACTGCCTGGCGCTGCTGCTGGACTTCGCCTACACCGGCCAGCTGGGCGCCCTGAGCGGGGAGCCCCAGCTGGCCGAGCGCCTCCTGCGCGCCGCCGACCTGCTGCAGTTCCCCGCGGTCAAGGCTGCCTGCGGCGCCTGGCTGGCCGCCCGCCTGGAGCCCTGCGCCGCGCTGGACCTGCAGGACTTCGGCGAGACCTTCGCCTGTGCCCCGCTGGCCGAAGCCGCCCGCCGCTGCGTCCTGCGCCACGCGGCCGATCCGGACGGGGAGCTGGGCGCGCAGCTGGAGCGCGTCCCCTTGGCCAGGCTGGTCTCCTACCTGCGCGAGGACGCGCTGCGCGTGCCCAAGGAGGAGGCCGCCTTCGCGCTGGCCCTGCGCTGGGTGCGCGCCGAGCCGGGATCGCGCGCGGGGCTGCTGCCCCAGCTGCTGGCCCACGTGCGCCTGCCCTTCGTGCGGCGCTTCGCCCTGCTGGCGCAAGTGGAGGGCGAGCCGCTGGTGGCCCGATCCGCCGCTTGCCTGCGCCTGGTGGCCGAGGCCAGGCTCTTCCAAGCCGGCCGGCTGGATCGGCACGAGAGAGCGCCCTGCGCCCGCCTGCGCCCGCGCCCCTCCACCGGGCTGGCCGAGCTGCTGGTGGTGCTGGGCGGATGCGACCGGGATTGCGACGAGCTGGTGACCGTGGACGGCTTCAACCCGCGCACGGGCCACTGGCGCTACCTGGCCGAGTTCCCCGAGCACCTGGGAGGCGGGTACAGCGCCGTTGCCCTGGGCAACGATGTCTACGTCACCGGTGAGTGGACCCCCTCCCACCCCTGAGCCCCCTTGACTTAGGATCGCACCTGCACTCGGAGGGGGGCAGCGATGCCCTGCTGGGGCTTTGAAAGCGGAGGGGTGGCTTTGGGTGAACCCAGAAGGGCAAACCGGAGACGGTGAGTTCTAGTTCTGTAATAGGAAAGCTGGCTGGGTGACTTTGGCCCAAATGTTCTGTTTTAGGCATGAAAGCCAGCTGGGGGAGCATGGGCCAGTCACCAGGCGATGGGGAGTTCTAGTATCGCCTGAGGCAGCAAAGCAAGGCTGGGTGACTTCAAGCCCATCACCAGGGGACAGTGCATTCTAGTACCAGGTTGGGCTGGCCTACTCATACCTAAGGTGTGACTAGAACTCACCGTCTCCTGATGATTAATCCAAAGTCACCCAGCCGGCTTTCATGCATAAGCTGAGACTAGAACTCACTTTTCCAGCCTGGTGCCTTCCTCACTAGCCCAAGCTGGCTCTCTATCCCTTCTCGCCGCTCTACTTTATCGCTCTTCTCTGCAGGCGGCTCCGACGGCTCGCGGCTCTATGACTGCGTCTGGCGCTACAACTCCAGCGTGAACGAGTGGACGGAGGTGTCCCCCATGCTGAAAGCCCGCGAGTACCACAGCTCGGCCATCTTGGACGGCCTCCTCTACATCGTGGCGGCCGACAGCACCGAGCGCTACGACCACACGCTGGACAGCTGGGAGGTCCTGCAGCCTATGCTCTACCCCATGGACGACTGCTCCACCACCACCTACCGTGGGAAGCTCTACGCCACCGGCTCCCTGGCCGGCAAGGAGTCCCTGGTCATGCAGTGCTACGACCCCGGGTCAGATCTCTGGTCCCTGGTGAACTGTGGGCCCCTGCCCCCCTGGTCCTTCGCCCCCAAGGCGGTCACTCTTGGGGGGCTCATGTACTTCATCAGGTAAGGGGCAGAGTGGGAAAACTTGCAGAAAGACCCCACTAGGGCACCGAGAACCGAGAGGAGAAAAATCCCAAAACGGCTGTTATGTTTATATTGGAAAATACAGCTGCTCCTCAAGTTACAACAGTTCATTCAAAGTTACAACGGCACTGAAAAAAAGCGACACGTGACCGTTTTTCAAACTTACAACCGATGTTTACGGCATCCCCATGGTCAAAATTCGGACGCTTGGCCACCGACTCGTATTTATGACGGTCGCAGTGTCCCGGGCTCACGCCATCCCCTTTTGCGACCTTGTGACAAGCAATGATTTAGAGTAGAATAAGAGCTGGAAGGGACCTTAGAGGTCTTCTAGTCCAGCCCCCTGCTCGAGCAGGAGAACCTGTGAGGAAGCCAGATTCACTTAACAACCATGTGGCTCAACTTAACGACTGCAGTGATTCACTTAACAACTGAAGAAGAATTCTATCCCAAATGGAACACGTTTAAAGCTTTAAATTTGTTATTGGGAGAAAATTGGCATTTTTGCTCCCGGGGTTACATGGGGTGAGCAAACGAAGCCCCAGGCACCGTTAATCCAGCTGGAGTTTCCTAGCCTTCAAAGAGGTTTTTTGTCCCCCCCCCTTTTTTTTTCTTTTTTCCCAAAAAAAGGATCTCTGCCAAAAGCAGAGCAAAGGTGACAGAATTAGGATTTTAACCAAGTGCTGCCTTTTCCAGAGAGCTGTCTGTAAAAATAGCACCAGTTTTCCAGACGCTCTTGAGGTTATCTGAGGGGCTGGTGGTGGTTCCCTGTGGAAAGAAACCAGCTCTTGATTAAAAAAAAAATATATGAGGTTATCAGGGCTTCTCTCTGCTTTTTTTGGAGGTGCTGCATTGCACAGGGAGATGCCATGAATCAGATGGGGGAGAGGAGGACTTGTTTCCTGGGAGTCAAAAAGTCCTACTTTGGGCGGATGGCGTGACTCGCCTTCGGGGGTCTTATCGGAGCCGAAAGGCGGCTGATCGGACCACTTGAGAGTTTTAGCCAAACATGGTCTTTCAGGGGGCTTGAAAAAAGGCCTGGAATTCATCCCGGCCTTATCGTTCAGATAGACGCTGTTTGTGGCTGGCTGATGGCTAGGAGCCTCGTTGGCATTTCCGGACTCCGGGTGTGCCAACATGGATGGGCACCATGGCTGCTGCTAAGAGGGGTTTGCAGGCAAGGATCCAGTTCAGACATTCGCTCCCGCCCGAAAAGCTGGGGACGTTCTCCACTCAACCCTCTCAGAATAATGGAGCTGGAGGTCTTCTAGTCCAACCCCCTGCTCAAGCAGGAGACACTTTCATACAGAACAACAGAATAAAAGATCACGGGGATGCTGCCACGGTCATAAGCGTGGAAAACGGTTCTAAGTTACCTTTTTCAGTGCCGTCGTAACTGCGGTCACTAAACGAATAATCGTAAGTCGAGGCCCTACCTAGAATAGCCAAAGATGACAAGGCAGCTTGCAGGGCGGTCAGTTTCCTGAGGATCCACCCATTTTAGCACACTTTATGCCCATTTCTGATCCATTTCCTCCTTCCGCCCACATTCCTCTTTGCAAGGAATCAGGACGTTATCCGGAGCGCCACCGTCCTTCTAGGGAACGGAACGGCCCCTCTTTCTCCCCGCCACCACCATCCCTATGTGGGCTCTGGAGACAAACAAGGAATGCATGCCAGGAATTCTTGCTGGCCTTTTTCATAACTGAAATTAGCAGCTGGTCCCTGCGGATTTTCCTCACTCCAGGTTTTTCCGGAGCTTAAGACATGCTTTAAATTCCTTGTGGATCCCAAGAACAACTTTCCCCTTGCAAAGCCAGATGGGAAAAAAACTCTGGTGATCCTTTGGCTCTGGAGTCTGCCCAGCATAACTTCCTCCCAAAGGTTCTTTGAATGGGGGGGGGGGGGAGAGCAAATTTCCTGCAAATTTCCCAAAACGATGTTGGCTGAATTGTTGCTTTTTTGCACACTATACAGTCGGTCCTCAGCTTACAACGCTTCCTTTAGTGACTGTTCAAAGCGACAACGGCAGAGGAAAAAATGGCTTAGAGCCGTTTTTCACCCTGACCGTCACAGCATCCCCACGATCACATGATTAAAATTCAGCTGCTTGGCAACTGACTCATAGTTATGACGGTCACAGTGTTCCGGGGAGTCACGCAATCCCCTTTTGCGACTCTGTTACTAACTAAAGAACTCCCAACGATTCCCTTAAGAATAGTGGCAAGAAAAGTCGTAAAACGGGGTAAAATTCGCTTAAATGTCTCACTTAGCAATGGAAATGTTTGGGGGCTCGATTGTGGTCATAAGTCGAGGACTACCTGTCATGTGGTTGAAATTTTGGCCTCCTGTTTGGGGCAGCCCCAAGGGGTTTGTGTCTGCAGTGTGGAGGTGACAAATGTCTTTTTTTTCCCCTACCATCACTCTTCCTTTCTTCCCCCCCCCTCCATCCGCACACCTGTTGCTGTCACACTTGGCGTGTCACAATCGGCCAAGGAACATTCTGTGTTTAGCTCACAACTCCTGGCTGACAACTCTTCTAGAAGGGTCTTGCTAAAATGAAAAACAGGCAAAGAAGGGCTGATTTTGTATATATATATATATATCACATTTGTTTCGTAAGCAGCCCAAATCACTAGAGATATTAGGAAAAAAACTTGCATTTTGTGAAAAAGTTTCCTTTCCCTCAAGAAATCTGAGATTTTTCTTTGTACACCCCATATGTACCCCTAACTCAGCCCCTCCACCTTGCTGCAGAATTCATCTAAAGTATTATTAATTATGAATAATAATAATTAATCTTTATCAATTATTTCTCTTGTCTTCCAGAGATGATTCAGCTGAAGTTGATGTCTATAACCCAGCCAAAAACCAGTGGGACAAAATCCCTCCAATGCTCCAGGTAGGTAGGGGGTCTTGCAAATTTAAGAGGGGTGGATTTCAATTCTATCTTTAACACCATCAAACAGCAACATCTGCCTCTCCCGGGTCCTTGGGAAGGACTCAGTGGGTGGATAAAAATGCCAACTCCAGTCTAAACATCTGGCTGGTTGTGCAACCAGCCACCGTAATACCATTGGCATTGACAACATCCCCATCGGTCAATTACAAAAGGCAGCTTGACTTGGGACAGCTTAAATCCTGTAGCAAATTCCTTGTGCAACAAGCACATCTGCCTCTCCCAGTTCCTCGGAAAGGACTCAGTAACTGGAGTAAAAAGGCCAAATCCAGTCTAAACATCTGGCTAACTGCGTCAGACCACAATAATAATGGTAATAATTTTGATAGCTTTCCTTTTCTCTACTCTAGGTGCACGTGGGAGGCAGCCTAGCCGTGCTCGGAGGTAAACTCTACGTCTCCGGCGGTTATGACAACACTTTTGAACTCTCCGCCATGGTGGAGACGTACGATCCCGAGAGCCGCAAGTGGAGCGTGGCCGGCCAGTTGCCGGAGCCCATTTTTTGGCACAGCAGTGTCAGCATCTTCCGCCAGTTCATGCCGGAGACGCTGGAGGAGGAGGAGGGGAAGCAGGTGCTGGAAGACCCCTTCGCCCCCAACCCTCCCAGACAAGACTTGCAGGAACTGCGTTAAGGGGGCCGAGAGGTTGTCGGGTCTGTTGTGGCTTGTCAGTGGCCGGTGCTCCTGTGGTACCCCTTGGGGTTGGGAGGTGATGGCGCCCTGTTGGCCTCGCCAAGTTGGTTGATCCTGTCCAGGAGTTCCGCAGGTCTTCTCTGTGGTGGACCCAGGAATGGGGTGGCATTGCAGGCTGATTCCCGAAGGATTAATTGGGGAGTGGGACAGAGCTTTGGGGGTTCAGCTCTGGACAGGGTGGGAAGGAAGAAGGTGGGACCTTGAAGGGAAGGTCTTCCGTGCGAGGAGAGGGTGCAATTCAGAATTCATAGGTCAACTTTTCTATACTGGTCAAAAAAGACTTTAAAAATGATGCCCCGCCCCTCCTGTTTGTGACATTGTGTATGGTCCCAGAGAGAAGGGTCTGGATGGGGAGATTAGTCCACCACGGGTTAGCTTAGGGTTTGGATAGATGATCCCAAGGGGACCCTTCCTGGTTTCTGCTTCTCTACTGTCACCCAATCAGGTTGCAGAGCGCTTCCTTTCAACATGCCGTGCCATCCATTCCTTGGCATTTGCTTGGGGGGGGGGAGAAGGAAGAATGTATTGTGCTGCCTGTCCCCGCACTGAGCAAGGGGGTTGGGCTGGATGACCTCTACGCCCTCCCACTTCCCACCTTTAATTTCTGTCATTTTGCGTCTGGAAAGAGAGGCCATAATATTTTTTCTTTTTTTCTGGGAGAAATTGCACATCGAACCAGTGTGCCTTGGAGGCAAAAAAACAAAGCCTCATATTAATGCCTGGGTAACAAACCAACTTTGGCAGAAAAAGACATCTTTAATTTACCAAATTAAGGAATTTTGAAGTTGTTTTTTTGCTGCCGGGCTGAACTGGTGCCCTGCCTCTGCCATTCGTCAAGAGGACTAGTGTCGTGGAACAAAAATAAACTATTATCTTTTGCAGTTTTTTTTAAGGAGACTGTTCCCAATGGCCTATCATCTCCACCATGGAGAAAAAGATATTTTTATAGATGTAATTTCTACGCACCCGCCTAGAACGGAGGCCGTGTGAGTTTAGAACGGACCGACAGGACTTTCCTTCCAGCGTCGCAACTTGGATCCGTTTTACCCGTTGCAACTCTGCAATTGCAAAAACCCTACCCGTATACAGGTAGTCCTCGACTTACGACCGATCATTTAGTGACTGTTCGAAGTGACAACAGCACTGAAAAAAGTGACTTAGGACCGTTTTTCACACTTACGACCGTCGCAGCGTCCCCGCGATCACAATCCGGTCGTAAAATGGGGCAAAATTCACAACAAATGTTTTCACTTTCAAAACTTGGGGCAAAATTTTGTGGTCGCTAAATCGAGGATCGCCTGTATCTTTTTAAGAGGGCCTCGTTTCCCACACGGCCATTTACAGACCCTGCTGGTGGTTCTGCTTTTTAATACCTTCCAATGTACGAGAATTATTATATTTTTTTTGTGGCTGGGCTGTTCCACGGAGGGGACAGTTTGCAACCTCTGTTCCAAGCCGGACGTTTGGGAGGAAGGGGTAGTTTTTGTATTTATTGAATGTTTAAATGTAGTCCTTGCACTTGGCCTAAAGTACTGTAGACTTCCTGCTCCTTCGAAGCAAAACTATTCTGGGTTTGGTAAAGCTTCCTTTTCGAAAACTTGCAATGTGCCAAATAAAAGAGACATGGCTGATGCTGCCAGAATCTGCTTGGGGAAGGCAAAAAAAAAAAAAAGACACCACAAAAGGGAGGCATTTCCATCTGGTTCCCTATTGAGCGAAATTCACTATTTGGAAAACAGAAAAAAAATATTATTTGTGGATTGAAATCTCTGCATTTTACCACCTGCTTTCAGGGCTAGAATAAGCCACCATCCCTGGTTTGCTGTGCTCCTCTGATGAGCAAAAACTCTTGTAAAAATGGGTAAAGAATTGCGTTTGCAAAGTTGAGAAACAGCCAGGTTGTGTAACAGGGCGTGAATAGTTTGACAAGTGAAAACCTGGCCATTTTCAATCACACCATAATGTGGGGGGAGGGGAGAATGGCCTGTCTCAAGCAAACCAGAAGGCTTGAATAACAGAATGAGAGAGCTGGAAGGGACCTCGGAGGTCTTCTAGTCCAGCCCCCTGCTCAAGCCAGAGACACTTTCATACAGAATAGCAGAGTTGGAAGGGACCTTGGAGGTCTTCTAGTCCAGCCCTCTGGTCAAGCCGGAGACCCTAGACCATTCCAGACAAGTGTATGACTAATCTTTATTAACAGGAGGGGGGGGGCATACCGCTACATCCCACAGTCGTTCGGGATGGTTATGAGGAAGGACTGTTCTGTGACTTCAGCGGGGGCCAAACTCTCGTTTGAGCAGAGTCTCTGTCCGGTGGGGAGATCCACGTTTGGGGCGCTCTGGGCCAGGGCCTCCACGATCACCTCTGCGGAGCCCACCTCCAGGACGTTGGGGGGCTGCAAGGCCACCACCACCACCTTCTCGTCCTCGATGACCAGGTTGCGTAGCTTCCTCTGGCGAGGATTGTAATTCTTGACCCGGTCGTGAATTTCCATGTGGCGTCTCAGGTGAGCCTGGCGGGAGAAAAAGAGCGGGAGAAGGTCAAGGCCAGGGCAAAAAAGGTCCCTACATTCAACCACCCCATCACCGCGAGGTGGGCCTTCACGACACAATGATTACAATTGGAAGGGGGACCTCTGAGGTCTTCTAGTCCAGCCCCCTGCTCTGGGATGCTCTAACTACACAATTGTGCTATAGATCTCTTGGGAATGAGGCAACAGATGTTCTGCTGAAAAAGGAGAACATCTAGATTCTTGGCTGGATTATTTTGAGATAAGGGGCTTCGGGCCAAGGACCTGGGCAGGGGCAGAGAAGGTTTTGGACAACAAAGAAGGCGAAACACGCACAATACCTGCCGTGTGAATTTGTACCCGCATTCCGTGCACTCAAACTTCCGCATCCCTTTGTGTCGACGGACGTGGACCCGCAGCTGTTCCACCGCTACGGGGACAAAATTGGTTAAGCGGTGGCAGGGTCCCCCCTTTGATTCCTCACAGAGAAAGAGCCCAAAAGAGGGGGTGCCTGGAGTCAGCCAGGCCTTCCCTGCTCCCCAAAGGGACCACTGAGTCAGCCTCTTTCTTTGCTGTTAGTTGCAGCGCGGGAAAAGCTGCACCAGTTTTCCGATCCAGCCGTTACCTTTGAACGTTTTCCCGCAGATCTGGCAGAAATGCGGCCGCCCTTCCTGGTGCCTGCTGGCCACGTGTCTCAACAACGGGCCTCGCTCGGTAAACCGCTGGGCACAAAACTCGCAGCTGAAGGGACGCTCCCCCGTGTGGGTCCGGTTGTGCTTATCCAGGCTCGCTGCGAACGAGGACAAAAAAGTAAGACGACGAGAGAGCAATCTGTCCAGTGCGGCTTTGTCTCACCCCTGCGACCGGTCTCTTGTGCGCCCATTGCAGCTTGGATGGAGAGACCCGATCCTGGTCGCCTGATTATTTAGCATGGGGTCCTCAACTTACGCCCGCAACTGAGCCTCCCATTTCTGATGCTAAGTGAGACAGGCGAGTTTTGCCCCATTGCTTAGTGACTTAGGATTGGTTCGCCGTCCTGTACCTTGGGTGCGGAAGGTTTTCCCACAGAGGTGGCACTGGAAGGGCTTCTCGCCGGTGTGGGTGCGAAGGTGCATGTTGAGGTTGGCTTTCTGGGTGAAGGCGTGCTGGCAGAATCCGCACACGTGCGGCCGTTCGTTCCTGGCAAGACAGGAAGCGCTATCAGGTAAGACGGCGGCGTCCCCAGCAAGCCGAAGCTCGTCCCAGCCTGGCGGGCCACTCCTCCTCCTCCTCCTCCCCCCAGGCACCTGTGCTTCGCCTTGACGTGCATCTGCAAGCCGTTCCGGCTGGACGCGCGGTGGCCACACTCTTCGCAGACAAACAGCTTCTCGCCGCGGTGCTTGAAGGCCTCGTGCAGGTTCAGCTCCGTGCGTGAGAGGAAGCATTTGGAGCAGGAGGAGCACTAGAGGAGGAGAGATGGGTCCGGATGAGGAAAGGCGGGCGAGGAACGAGTTTGCTTCTAGCCTCTCAGTGTTCGTGTGTGTGTATGTGTGTACCCCGCTTCTGCCTGCTGCTCACCGCGTGTGGCTTAGGGGCGCCGTGCAGCTTGATCAAATGGCTTTGTAGTTCCTTCTTCTGCATGAACTGCTGGATGCAGGAGCAGCACTGCAAAACAGACGGGCACTGCTCAGTACCAAGACTAGCGAGAGGGAGGGGAGAGAGTGAGGACTGGAGCCATTGCCCCTCTCTCCCCCTGCCTGCCGATTGGGCTGGGTTGGCAACTCCTGGCTGGAAGTGGCCACCACAGGAAAAAAAGGCAGAACACAACAAGCACACACAGCAGAACCTGAATTATCCCTTAAAGGGGGTTAATTTCCAGATACAGATAATCCTTGATTTACAATAGTTCATTTAGTAACCTGGATTAGTGTGATGGGCAAACCCGCCTTTGCAACCACCCTGAAACTCGGCTTATATTGTACTTCTCAGCTGTGAGGGCAAGGAAGAGGGCAGGGAAGCATGGATCCAGCCACAGCTGGGCTGTCGCGCCTTTGGGAGCAATTTCTAAGCGCACGGCCTCACCCAGCACTGCTCAAGCGCAGGGCAGGCTGACCTTGTAAGGCATCTCGCCCGTGTGGGTCACCATGTGCAGCCGGAGTTCGACCCGCCTCTTGAAGACCTCTTGACAGACAGAGCAGGTGTGCACCTGGCGGAAAGGGGGGAGAGAAATCAGGGGGGCTGGAAAGGGAGGGGTCGGCTCAAGAGTCCCCTGTCCCAGGAGGCTCACTTGGAACCCCTGTTTGGAAAGCAAGTAGGTGAACAACAGAACAACACAGTTGGAAGGGACCCTGGAGGTCTTCTAGTCCAGCCCTATGCTCAAGCAGGAGGTGAAACGTAGTCTCTGCAGGCCTGTTTCGGTTCTAGAGTCAAACCCCAAAGTCTCGTGGTCTTGTGACACTCTGATTCTCCAACCAGCTATGGGAAAGACCTGCCCTCCCAAATACCTGCTCCGAACGGCTCACGCAGTTCCTGGCTTCGTGATCCAGCAGGTTTTCCTTCCGGAAGTAGCACTTCCCACACTTGGAGCATTCAAAGGGCTTCTCCCCCGTGTGCTTCCTTCAAGGGATGGAGGAAAATAGCAAAACACTGGGTCAAATTAGCAATGTCCTTAGCTTTGGTCTTTCCAGAGAGTGAGGTTGATCACTGGCCCTTCCAGGGAGCCTGCTTCATAAAGCACAGAGCTATCTCCACCCCAAGACAGGAGAACAACACCCCCTTTCCTTCCACAAATTCCCAGAAGCCTTCTCCTCTTCCTCCTCCCTCCACAAGAGCTCCAAACTTACCTGTTGTGGACCTTCAGGTAATACTTGCTCAAGAAAGACTTATGGCAGGTGGGACATTCAACCGGTTCAGCCGTGCCTCGGCGGGGTCCGAGGGCCGCAGCCTTGAGACGGTGACTGCTTCCGCCGGTTTTGGAGCTGCTGCGGGAGGCTCTGGTCAACGAGGGCCTCTTCCTCACCCGGACACTCTTCTGATCCGGGATGTAATCCTCATCCATGTCATCCTTCCCCCTCCCTCCGCTGTGATCCTCCGAGGGGAGATCACTCGAACCCAGGACCTCTGGGGTCTCCTGTTGGGAAGGAAGCACATGGCTGCTTGTAGATACCCATAAAGGCAAAAGCACTCTTATCCTGTCCTCAATGAGGGCTGGCTCCCTGACCAGTCCAAACACATAAAGGGGCATAACACATAACCCCCAAAATTTAGAATAGAGGAGATTCTCACTAAACCCCAAATTCCCTGCTCTTCAAACAGAGAAACTCTTGGTTTTTCAAGACCCCCCCCCATCTCTTTCTTTGTTTCTCTCCCCCGTTTTCTAGGTCAGGAGCAGACAAGGGCAATTCCTAAAGAGCACGTTACTCCGCACGCCACCTCGTGACTGGCGCCCGCGTCCTCGGCGGCTTCACTTTTCAGGGGCCGTTTAAGTTCCTTACATTCCGGGCTCTCCTTTACGTCGCCTGCGCGGCTTACAAGGTTTGTTTTGGGGACCCTTTTCAACTTCCCCCAAAGGAGGGCAGGGCCGTCCCGTGGCCCCTGAGCTCCTTTGACGCCCCGGGTCCGGGGACTTTCCGATGCTGGGCGGCCGGGGGGTGCCGCCTCGCAGGTCGACTCCCCCGGCGAGGTGGCATCGGGGTCTGTGTCAATAAGAACTTCGCCGTTCTGCTTGCCGCTGTCCTCCGAGCGGTCGGATTGGAACTCCTGGCACAGCTGGATGACCTCAGGAACGCAGAGCTCCTTGGCCGTCTCCAGCAGCTTGTCCCGGTTGTCCGAGGTGACGGCCAGGTGTCCGGTGTAGAAGAAGTCCAGGAGGAGGGTGAAAACGTCCAGGAAGGTCTCCGGAAGGATGATTTTGCCGGCGGCGCCATTGTAGAGGGTTTGGAAGAAGGAGCTGCAGCAGGCCAGGACGCTCCAGTGGGCTTTGAAGACCAGGCTGCCCACGGCCAGGGTGGCGTCACAGAACTGGCCCTTCTGCCGCTGGAGGTTCAGCTCTTGAAGGACCCGCACGCTGTGCTTGACAAACACACCCTCCATGGCGCCCTGGAAGGAGGACGGGGACAACGTTGGAGGGGACGGCCCAGGAGGA